CTAATCAGAGCCTTGCACCAAGCTTTCCAATTGAGCATATTGATGATAGCTCAGCGTCTCGAGGAATGAATGATGGAGCGGAAAACCTCAAAACTTAGTACTCTGCATCAAAAAGAAACTACCAAAAAAGAGAAGAAGAGCTTCGGTTTGCAGCAGATACCTGGGGCTGGCTCTGGTGTAGAAGCCAGCGTTGATGCAAGTCCCACCACCCAACACTCGAGCTCGAGAATTGATGACTCCATCAGTGGAGATGAAAGCTTGCGCCGGAGAACTGGGGGAGGTGTCAGCCAGAGAGATGTGGAAGTTCTGCAAACGCGAGATGTTGCGGTTGCCGTAGGGGGAGCCGCCTCTCTCGAGCAGCAACACCTTGAACTTGTGAGAGAGGGTGGCAGCCAAGGGACACCCTGCGGTGCCTCCGCCCACTATGATGTAGTCGTATGCTTCCCCTGGTGCTGATGAGAAGCTGCTTGCTTTCTTGATGTAAGGGTACCTCGGCTTCGTGAACCCCCTTCCTGAAGCCCATCGAGCAATAGCAGATCAGCATTAATGACTGCAAAATCCTGCACCCACTCACTCTACAATGAATTCACCATGGGACTCGGAACTTGCAATGGGAACTCCCATTTGTATCAGGATTCAAAGTTTCAGCTCTAAATGACTCCATAAATCTCCTTGAATTCTGCAAACTAATTGTTCTAGCAGCAGAGCTTCACTCTTTATTGGTCGGATCACTATGAGCAGTAGGGAAATAACAATGCAGATTAATACTTGTCAGACATGATCCTAACGAGTTCAAAGACCCTCTGGAAACTCGATCTTATAGAAATCCTAAAGAGAAAATAAATAGAAAACTTCATCTTAAAGAATGCTGCAAAACCAAATTGAAACTAGGAGTTCCTGACAAGTCCAATATCAAGAAACGTAGAAGTTTGCGCAAAACATGTTCTAGACATCATTTTCCTAAAAAGAATAATTCAATGTTTTAGACATCAGCAAATGACCAATGTCTGTCCCCATGGTATACTTTCCCAAACTTTTGGCTTCATTCTGCACGTCATAACCCAACACAAGCTTCATCTCCTTCTCCTTGGCAGGAAATGGTTGCTCCAGATACAACCTCAGAAACATAAAACAATAGAGAGGGAGAGAGCGAGACCTTGCGATGATCTGAAGATGCTGAGCAGCAGTAAGATCATGAGGAAAAACTCTTGCTTCATAGAGGCCATGATTTCAAGCTAGCGCCAAGCTTAGTTTTTCCTACAACCAGCAGCGCCATTTTATAGCTACCACTTGATCGAACAGCCCTCTCTTTGCCTTGGATGTAAGTAGGAGAGACAGCAGAGATCCATGTGAATGCAGCTTCCATGCATTTAAGATCATAACCATCATCAAACAAAGCATTTAATGATGACATGAATGCTAGACCTCGAACTGGATTATTCAAATATAAAAATCCTGATTACTGTTCCTCTTTAGCCACCACCCTACCATCAACCTGTTAACATCAATCCCATCTTCCCGTAGTACTATCATACGAAATCTCTTTGAGTTCATTGTCACAAAATCTTTAACATCCTACAAGTTTCTTCCGCCGCTAACGAGAGAGAGGAACTCCATATCGTTTACATGAAGGCACCACGCATCAATCACTTTCTATGGCAGATACAAGGACAGATCCTCTCAGAGATGGAATCTACGAAAAGCCCAAGCTTAGTTAGTTTCTTAAATAGAAATTGGATTATAAATCTGAGGTAATGATCGAGACTGGAGACGCATCTGATCCAACTGAGCGTGGACGAAACGGTTCTGTGCCCAAGCTTCAATTTCCATGACCGAAGCTTACTAAGTTAATCCAGGATAATGACACGGAGAAGTGATCATGCATTGGATGCGGACTATGTAAGGAAAGAACTAGCATCTATGGATCAAACCAAACGCTTGCTAGTTATGACACCCCGACACTTTCAATAATCACCTTTACAATGCAATCAAAACCAGCATCTATGTTTCTGCCTCGCCAACCAGAAGTTACGTCTCCATCCTATTCTTTTCCGCAGTGCAGTTAATAGGTCTGGACTTTGTGTAAGGAAAGAACTAAAGCAGCCTGAACTGTCCTCAATGTTTTTAATACAATAAGAGGTCACCCTATCTCTTAGTCTCTCATTTGAACCACTGATCAGCAGATTTTTCCTCATGAAATTGAGATGCTTAACAATGTGTTAATGAACAATAATATGAAATAAATAAACTAGTTTTCAATATCTTTTTGACTGGTCGAGCCATTGAAGTAGTTGCGGGGAAGAGCACAACCCCCGTATGTCCAGGTATTAAGTGAGAAGGTGAGGTTATAGGGTGACAGTCTTTCATACCTTTGCAAGCTGCAGTAGGTGCAGCTTTAAAGTTACTACCCTGTTCATCTGTGTTTTCTTGTGCAGTGGGAGGGTGAGCTCTTAATGAATCCCACATGCAGGGGAGCATAAAAGTGGCAGTTCACGATGGGGCAGCGAGTAGGTAGGAAGACAACTGGGGGTAATTTCGGTGCAGACAGACCCGGAACAGGATCTGTTCGTCATCGGAGACCAACCCAGAGGAAGGCGATGCGGTGAGCTTCCTCCATGGATGGCAAGCATCCTAATCTGTCATACGTGAAAGGTGGACGACAACCACTCTTTTCTCGAATTGCCAACACCAACCTTGTTAGAAGGCAGAGGGGACAGAAACGTGTTCCCTGGCAAACGAGATACCAAGTTTTCATGGTTCCGGTGGATTGGAGAAGATGGATCGTGTTGCAGCTTGCCACTTCTTACTCACCTTAGATCGCATACACTTGTTATGTTTGCAGTGGCCGTCCCAGTGCAGCTTTCTGGTTCTGCTGCACTGTTTTGGTTCCACCTCATAAAAAGAAAACAAGTCCACTGTCTCTCCGTCATTACAAAAAGAGAAACTTTCGTACATCATCCTGATCCTCAGTCTTGCCAATCTCACACTCACTTATGGTCTCATTTCGTGACTGCATTGTGCTTCACAGCACTATAACAGTATCTACTACCGGTGGTCGGGTGCATCTCCTGCGTCCAGGTCGAGCCAGCGAGCACCGGAAAGAATGCCTTGGATGACTTGACTTGTCGTGGGGCCCGTCAAACGAGAGCCAACGCTTTTGTGTTTGGTCCTCGACCGAGACACAGGATCCGCGTGCTCGATGGGAAGCGGATGCGAGATCTGCCGTACACGATCTGTACTAGCAGCAGACTGCGGAGTGACGAATGCCATCCTCTATAAATTGACGGTCGGGTAGAACAATCTACTCTTGACTGCTCGACCAATGGGCGGGTAGATTTGTGGCTCATTCTGTTTTCAGAATGGAGCCGCAATTGATTCTTGTCCTAAACTACTATGAAATGACGTAATATATGTCTTAATACCTCTTAACAAATATGACCCACTTTCATTAAAATGGATGAGATAAGATATTTCAAACTAATTTAATATTTCATCATTAACAAATCTTTCAGTTAACTCATGAGCCATGCCATTTGATGCGACCAAGGTCAGGTGTTAGGGCTTGGATAAATGAAGGGTTGGGCTTAGATGGTCCTTCTGCAGGGACAACTAAGGTCCACCACTGTATGTTCTCTGCCACTATAACTTCTCCAAGCCCTTATTCTTATAGTACGAACTCCAAACCCTTTCTCAAGTTAGACATCCTCCTCACAGACTAACCGAGGATGATAGTGGGTGACGACTCTAATGTTGTCGACGCTCTTTCCCGGCGACACTCTGATGGCTCCTTCTCATACGATTGTGTTATGGACACACAATGAGATATATGTAGTAAGGTGACTTGTGGTGGAAGACCGGACAATGCGGGATGGATGGCTGCACCATCCATTCCCTTTGTAGGGGTATGACCACTGTACATCCAAGTACAACAATGACTGCTTGAATGTCGAAAATGACCTTCGAGTTATCCAACGCCTTTTCCTACCGTTTCCATTTTGCTGACCCAACCCGAACCAACATAGCCCAACATTTCAGCTACAACGACCACGTCATCACCTTCCTCTTACTTTCAATCGAAGCAAACGCAACACATTCCTTCCTTCCTTCCTTTCTTTCGTTACCTTTAACACGTGACGAGTGTTGTTGGAACCGACAAATCACTCGGTTCCTTTGATTCCACTTTATTTTGTTTGGTATGTTTGAAATCTTGGTAATTTGCATGCTCATCTCCGAATATTTTTTAACGATGATTCCATCAATTCTTTTATTTGACATTTTCAACCTCCAGATGATCAATAAATTAATAATTTCACGATTTAACATAATCGACTATATTAACTTATACTGTCGATTATGTTAGTATGCAATCACTGATAAAGAAAACTTTAAAGATTTATTAAATGTTTTTATTTTTTAGCTGATATATGTTTTTTTAATAATTTTAATAATTTTGTTTTGATGAATTCTAAAAAAATCAATCTTTTTGGTTTTTTCCCTTTATTTTTAGGATTTTTAAATAATATCTGAAATATTTTTTTCTCTCCCTTTACCTGTAGATCGATCTCTATATGATGAGCTCTGTCCGGTTACAATATTTTTATACTATGATTTTTAGTAATTTTTTTAAAAATTATAATGTGGTATAAAAATATTATATTACAATATATTTATATAAAATTTATAAAAAATATATTTATTATGTTTTTACACTCCTTTAGAGTATTTTCAATAATACTAAAAAATTATAATATAATGTAATATTAGGACAATTATATTTAGTAATAGTATTTTCAATAATACAAAAAATTATATTTAGTAATATTAGGAAAACATGTAATACGGCAATACTATAACACAATATTTTTATATTATATTATAGTATTTTTTTAGTATTATTAAAGATATTATAACATAGTGTAAAATTATTATAATTGGATTAGTTCAACTTAAGATTAGTCCTTTAGTTTCACTTATTATTAGTTCAACACCGCCGTCATTTCTCGTTCCTTTCCGTTTGATATTTAGCTCTCCGTCATCTTGTTCTGCTGCTGCTCTTCTGAAACCCGACTGTGGAGAGGCCTTCCGCTGACCATCTCCTCCTACCGCAGGTACGTTCCCAGATCTTCCCTTCTCGTTCCCGATGCGGCCTTCTTGGTTCCGATCATGCCACCAAGATTCTTGATGTATTTGATGCATGCGTCAGCCCGATCCGCCTGTTCGATAAGTTCAATATCTTGTTCTATTAAGACTTTGGATTTGTTGCTCTTTTTTTTAAAAGAATTTAGTTCTCGATTTCCACCCTTCTTGATGATTACGATGATTCTTGTGACGGTACTGGTTGTTCGTGATTAGGGTTTGACTTGGTCCTGTTGCTTTCCTGGTATTCCAGTTGGTTAGTGTTTGATTGTTAGTCTTTTTGTTGTTTTCTTCCATAATCTTTGTGATGTTTCTTTGATTGGGATCATCCTTTCGTAGACGCGGTAGAAATTTCTTGCTTCGAAGATTCAAGTGAATATCTCAGGTACATGAAGTCTTTTGGTTTTGGGATGAATCCAGCCAAATCTAGTCGGCGTTCGTAGTGCTTATATTATTGATCTCACTAGTTTAATTATTCCGTGACAGTTGTTCATAACTCACCGTGAATTACGTTCTTGGATATTTCCTGCAAGAATGCTGATCGATCTCATTTCATGTGTGCCTATAGGGAATCAATTAAACACTTCAACTGTGCATTTCTTATAATTTTTTCTAATATGTGATCGATATACTTCAACGTCAGACTTTGGAATTAAGGTACTTTTTTCTTGCATGTGATGATTAAGGAGTTGAGAGATGGATCAGTCGTTGAAATTTCTTTCTTCTCTGTCTATGGTCATCGTTACATCTCCTTTTCTACTTATGCACCCCCTATAATTTAAATTAAAAAGTGATCCACTGAAGGGTGCATTTGTTTGTACTTGCTTTTGAAATTCCATTTTCCATTAATAAACATTTACTGTTTAGAAGTTTATTTCTAGCTTTTGTATGGTTCATGGATATTTTGAACATATATGTACTTTGTATTCTATTCTAGTTCATGTATATGAGAAATGAGATAAGAATGATAAAGCAGAGGAGCATCAGCCAACTTCTTTTTTCTTTTTTAATTTTACTGTAAATTCTGATGTCTCCTTTGTATTTATTATTTCAAAAGTTGTCGTTCCTTGGAACTCTCACGGGTGGCAATTTTCTCACTGCTTCTACCTTAATTATAGCACCTAGATTTGGCACATTCTCAATAGGAATAAACCCTTCATGAATCATTTCATATGTTCATTTTGGTGGCTGCAGGCTTCCAAATCCATTGAAATGGAAGTGGTGGCAAAATAGTTTGGATAGGATAATCTGTATCTCAAATCAATTACTGTTTTCTTCTTTTTCAGAAAAAAAAATGGATGAACATTATTGTTCTACCCAACTTATTGATGGAGATGGTGCATTCAATGTTGCTGGCATCGAAAATTTTATTAAGATGGTGAAGTTGGCTGAGTGTGGACTATCCTATGCTGTGGTCTCTATTATGGGCCCACAAAGTAGTGGTATGCTTGCAAGTTACATGAATTATTACTGCAAACTTTTCAATCCTTTGCTCTTTGACTTCCTCCCATTTGTTTTTTTGCTGCTAATACTAAAATCATTTAGCAAAGTCAGTAATTGTCATTGAAAGCCTTCTTAGATAAATGAGTGACATCTATCCTTTTTCCTTTTGATTTACCATCAAGCCTCAAAATTTGAGGCTAAGTAGAGTGGATATTGCAAGGTTCTTTATGTAATATTGTGAATGATATATAATTAATTTGTTACATATGAGTTTGTTACTTTATGTGGGGATCTTAAATTGAGGAACCATGAGCTTTGTTTGAATGATTGGAAAGTCGCAATTGTGATATGGCAAAATCAAATGGATCGTATCAGCGGAATGGAATCAGCTTAAAGAAATCAAGGATTAACTCTGACTGGATGATCCTTATCAATCCTTACCATCTTTGGTGATCCCTGTTGATTTCATGTGCTGGAGCATATCCTGGCCAAACTTGACATAACTTGGCTGATCTTGATCAATTTTAAGGCCTGGATTGTATGAACCTAAGAAATTTTAATACTGGGAAATGGTTTTGGCCAATCCTGTTAAAAATTGGGTTAAATTATCTTTATAAGGTGTTGCTAGATGCTCAGCTGTATGTAGAGTGTAATGTAGAAGGTGTCAGATGGTTTGTAAGGGTCCACATATATCCAATTTTTAGTGGCATAATTCTTTAGTGGGCATTTCTATGAATTGGTTTTGAATCACTTCACCAAATTCAAAGCATATGACTTATATTTCTTTGCTTAGATTATCTTCTATAACTTGCTCCACCAATGGCAGTATTGTTGCTGCTGCCTCTCGTGCTATTTTGCTTTATGGTTGTGCTAAGCAATTCAAAAAGTTGCTTCACTACATTGCTCACTACCTGAGAAATACATTTTTCAATCATCTGGAGTAGTTTTTTGTGGTTCAGCTTTGTTGTAAGTCCGTATACAAGAACATACTTACTCTTTCAAAGTTAATAAGATTATGTGTCACCATTAAAATTATATATGTCACTGGCTCCTTGTGGTTGAGCATCTGCAATCTTTTAGACTTGACCACTGCTTCCATACAGTAATTGCTGGTAAAGGTCCTTCATAAACTATTATTGCTATGACAGGTAAGAGCACACTTTTGAACCATTTGTTTGGCACCAATTTTCGAGAGATGGATGCTTTTAGGGGAAGGTAAGCTTTTCTATTGTTGCCCATTTAATTCATCTGCATCATTCTCATTTTAGCCAATTCATTTCGTTCAACTATGATTTAATAGTCATATTTCTTCAGGTCACAGACTACTAAAGGCATTTGGCTAGCGAGATGTGCTGATATTGAGCCATGTACAATCGTTATGGATTTGGAGGGTACCGATGGAAGAGAGCGAGGGGAGGTATCTATCCAGTTTATGAATGGTTGAGTTCCTTTTGGCGCAACATTGTGCATGCTATCATGCAAAGTCAAAATATTCATATTGTACAACATTAATCCTGTATCCAAGGAGAATTTTCAGTAAGTTGAAAAACACAGTTGGTTACGCATGTAAAGTGAAATCATCTGAACCTCCAATATCTGCAAGGTCAGAAAAAGAATGACATGATGTGATTGGATAGACATAGTCAAAAACTCCATTTCATGGATTGTCATACAATTTAACATTATGTCAGCCATTGCTAGATTGTAAGATCAGATATCAATGTTTTTATAGAGCTTATAAAAAAGCATGACATCACAAATCATTACATTTACGACCATTGGGTGCTGGATGAATATGGTTCTGCACTGTATGCTTTTTCTTTATTTTTATGCAATGAAGCCTTGATACTTGGAACAGACTGAATGTTTATTCTGAACTAGGGCCAACTATTTTCTCTACATGTACTGTATTTGCTTAATTTATGCAATATGGAGTACATGGTTAGATCATAGATGGTTACTTCTGTAATCAATAATATAGCCATGGGTGATTCCGGAACGATCAGAACTTGTCTTAAAAACTTATCTTTGGTTGACCTGATCCAAAACTCAACACTTCAAATTTGGTAATTTTATCTGATTGCTTGTTGACCACGTTTTGGTAACCACCGAATTTGTTTTTATTTTACATGGAGAAGACTTAAGATCCAAAATCATCTTTGTGGTTCAAACAGTCATGCTGCATTTGCAGCAATGATTGAGGGAAAGGGTGGAAACCTGATGCAGGTAACAAAGTAAGAATAAATATTATATAATAAACAAATAGGTGGTTTTCTACTTCCGATGAACTTATTTCAGATGCTATATTTTCCTGCTTGTCTCAGGAGTTATTTGACAGGCTTCTTGCCAACAACTCCAGCCCCGCTACCATCATTTTCACACCAATTAAGATAAAGAAGATAAACCAAAAAAATATAGACAATGAAAACTGGGCCTATCAGGCACGGAAAAAGGACTTTTCGAGAAAATGGGAAAAGAAAGAAAGGAAGAAAAAGAGAAGTGATGGTGCAAAGCATTCCTTAAGTTGCTGCCCGATGATTATTGATTATGTAACTGATTCTTTTGATTCTAATATACTTGACATTCTGCTCTCCAACTTAAATGCATAATGATCTTTTGTGGTACCATTATCCCTTAAAGTCGTGTTATATTATATAATGTTAACAAAAATAATATAAGAATCATCAAAATTAGGTTATGGCATCCGTTGATTTTGTTTCATCTCTAGTCATCTTTGCAATCTTGACTGTTTAACACAGAATCACAACCGCACAGAATAAGTGAAAGAGACCATCGTTTACCAGTGTTGAAAGACTTGTTTGATCCATACAGAGAGAGATTGTGTTTCCTTTTCCAGGTCCTATATTGACTAGTATAATAAAAATCTATCAGGGAAGGTCTGACACTTAAAATTGCTTGGCCATTCCTCTGGATCTCCAACTTGTGCATCTGTAATAAGTTTTTCTTGATTTTATTAGTTGTAAGACATGCTAGTAGAGTTTAACATCTTTACTAGCGCTAAAATATTCCCCAAAGTACGGTCCATCTACTCCAGGATTAACATCTCTCATGTGATTTTAACAAGCATTAAGAAATATGTTTCTGGGACCTCTGAGTTGATGGTGCCCTTGTGTCTCTGCTCTTACCTCTCAGTTGGCAAAATTGTCAGTCTTTAAGATTTAGTTGATTTTGGTCTTTGATTTACCATGATCCCATCTATGTTTGCCGAATCAATGGATTTTCTAAACATGCTACTTGGTTGGTGTCTTGGTGCAATTTCCTTTGGGTTCTTTGTGCCTCTAAATTGAAACATGCTTATTTAACTTCTAGGTATCTACTCAATGATTGTTTATTTAATTATGCACCTATAGTGAAAGTTAAACAAGGAATTCATTAGATGATGAACCAAAACTTGCACCTAATCAAGGTTTATTTTTGTATACTTGGAAACTGTTTTTCGTTGATCTGGCTATAATTTTTATGTGTCCTTATTCTTTATGAACTAACTTAAGATAAAGGCAAACTCTTGAACATAATAGTCAGTGCATAAGATTATGATTCTCGACTCATAATGCTTCTACTATACATTGCCTTATGATGTGATTTATCATCTATTTTGTGTTCAGGATGACACAACATTTGAGAAGCAGAGTGCACTTTTTGCTTTAGCAGTTTCAGATATAGTCCTTATAAACATGTAAGACTACAGTTAATCAAGCAACACATTTTTTTTTTCTCTCTTAATTTTGCCTCCATAAAATAGGTGGTGTCATGATATTGGTCGAGAACAAGCTGCAAACAAGCCTCTTTTAAAGACAGTATTTCAGGTAATCTTAGACATAAAAGACTTACACACCCATCTAGGCATATAAGCTTCAATATTTCAGTTGTTCCTGTTTGTATCAGCTTATAATTTTCACTTTCATTCTTATGTTTCTTGCATAACAGGTGATGATGAGGTTGTTTAGCCCTCGTAAAACAACATTACTATTTGTCATACGTGATAAAACCAAGGTGAAAATTTCGTTTGTTTACACAAAATATTGGTAGCTCCTTTTTTTCTAACCGGTATGTAATTGCAATTGACATCTTGTTTCATGAGCAGACACCGCTGGAAAGTCTTGAACCTATTCTCAGGGAGGATATTCAGAAGGTGCCTGTTATGTAGTGCTCGTGCTTTTCATTTTCTGTGACAATTTTATCTTTAATGTCTCACACACATTTCTTGCAGATATGGGATAATGTTCCAAAACCACAAGTTCATAAAGAAACTCCTCTTAGTGAATTTTTCAATGTATGATAAGCTAATCTTTAGTTTTTGCTGGTTTCTGATCAAATTTAATCTGTTACTTCCATTCTCATGCCATAAATTTCCAGGTACAAGTTGTGGCTCTTTCAAGTTACGAAGAGAAAGAAGAACAATTTAAAGAACAGGTGAACTAACTGAACTAAGTCCACCAGACATCTCTCTTTGACCCTTTGATATTCATAGTAATGCATCTGATGAGATATATACATTTATATTAAAAGAAGGCAGGAAGTCGATCCTGGTGTGATGGGCAGCTACACTGAACCTTGGATCATATGGAGTGTGGACCTAAATATTAAATATTTCTAGTGCAACAGCAATTGAGCTTATATGGTATTCTAGTGTTTTGTCACTGAAGAAAAAAATAACCCATTAATATAACATTTACATTCTTTTGTCTCAAGGTCCTTCATTAAACTTTTGTCTTTAGGACCTACAATAGACTTTCTAATGTAACTATGACGAGGCTATACCAATTGGATAGGGCTCAGTCCAATTGGATGGACCTGATTTGGATTGAATGAAAGGATAGAAAGCTTCAATTCATATTGATGAGAGAGATCAGTCCTGCTGGCCAAGGAAAACTTTACATCCACCGATATACATTCTTGTATTCTTCTTCATTATTAGACTCAATAAATCTAGAAGCCTGGTTCCATAAAACATAGGACTACTAATGAGGAAACAAAATAGATGATAACCACTTTATTTTCTGTGTTTGTTGTAGAGTGAGTATATTCTGTTGTGATCAGTACCAGTATCTTAAGGCATCACCTGCTCATGCATTCCAAATAGTATTTAATTTTCAGCTTGATTAATGTCCCAAAGAGAAACAAAAAACTAAAGTAAAGAACTAGAATCAAAACTGACAGGTCATAGTAGTATACTCAATATTTAACTGCTTGCTTTAGCTGACCTGGTTCTAACCCTAAATTAAATTATGGCTACACCAATTGCTCCCATTGCATATGGTGGTCACTATGTTCTTAGTTGCTTCCATTGCATTTGGTAGCATCCTCACTGTCTTCTTGTTAAGCCTAAATCAAGATTGATGCAATTGGACACGTATGAGTTGGTGATGGATTGATGAATCTATTGCCTTTTGAGTGCCAGATGCCTTTATTTCCTTCGGATCCTTGAAAAATTGATTATTTTAGGTTCATTTTGTAGCTGGAATGGGATCTATATGAACTGTACTTCCTCGATTGGAATTCCTGACATAACGGATCCTTGGTCATTAATCATGTGTTGTGATACTTTGAAGCTCTTAATAATATTATTTAAGTTACTGTAGCATTTCTATACAAGTGTAGTTTTAGAGTTCCCTTTTCTCTTTTACTGGGGGGAGGGTTCTTTTGCCCCCATCCTCTCCATGATGGGTAGCCTTTGCAAGAATGTGGTAACATTTTATAACAACTCTTGGACATTTACTTTTTACATGGCCCTCCTAGTCTTTCTAAAGTTATGTCTTTGCTAAGTGCTGGTAGCACACTGTGTATTGGTTTCTCGATTTTCTTGAAAGTTCATCCATTAATGTTTCTTGCACTTAATATATTTTGAGGGATTATTTTTTTGTTACTTCAAACATGACTTTATCGTTCTGCAGTTGAAACTTTGGAGTGATCTCATGGCATAAGATTTAAATTGAACTTTGGAGTTTAGAAAAAAGGACAAAACAGATACCTTTTTGTATGTTTGTGTCGTTTTATCTTGTTTAACTTGTTTTCAACGGTATGTTTTTAAGTCATTGAAAACTAAGTATTCTTCAATGAAATTGAATGACAATGCAGTCAACAGTTATGATGCATAATGCCTTTTGAGGTCTAATATGTGTCTGCCAATTTCTGAAATTCTTTCTTTTTCTGCCATGTTCCATCACAATTAACAAAAGGTTGCAAGTTTAAGACAAAAATTTTATCATTCTATCGCACCTGGTGGCCTTGCTGGAGATCGACGTGGGGTCATTCCTGCTTCAGGATTTTCATTTAGTGCACAGCAGATATGGAAGGTTATCAAAGAGAACAAGGACCTTGACCTGCCTGCACACAAGGCAATGATCAGATTGCTTCAGTAGTTGTTTCATTGACATTCCTGTGAGATTATTTTTATTGGTGTTTCATATTCTTCTAGGTTATGGTAGCCACTGTACGTTGTGAAGAAATTGCTAATGAAAAGCTTGCTTTCATAAATGCTGATGAGGTAATGGTATCCAGCTTGTACATGCTTTTGTATCAGCAACTTTTGACGATGAAGAACACCTTTCTTTGTGTGTTACAGGAGTGGCTTCAACTTGAAGAAGCTGTTCAGCATGATCTTGTTCCAGGTTTTGGAAAGAAGCTCAGTGCAATATTGGACAAGTGCTTGTCTGGGTGAGCATTCCACTTGTTAGTAATGTCCTTAAAAATTTCCAGATTTAGCAGTCCAGAACTTTATTTTGGACATTATGCTTGAATATGTAGCGTGTATATTGAAGTTACTCGCATTGTGCTTGAACTTTCTAGGTAGTCTTTGTATATATGGTCTCCATGGAATGAATTTCTGTAGATGACTACTGTTTCATAGTGCCATCTTGAGGTTCCTTCTCACTGTGAAACTAAAGTATTTGATAGCCTTGGACAAGATCCAACCTATTCATAGAGGTGGTTTTGTATGCCTCTGTAAGAGAAGCACATCGAAAAATATCCATGGAGGAACTACTTGATGTTCTTGCCATCAGTGTGATGGGCAGGCTTGCGGGACAGCTAGAAGTGAATACTGCAAGAGGCATGTGAGCACACATTCTACCTCTTGCCATTCTCCTTCAAGTGTTGATACTTTGCCACCATGTGATCCCTCTTGGCCTTGGGCTTTGGCTGTCAAACTCTGATTGTGGCTGTTAAGAGGTTTTATAGAGGAATTGCTCGTGTACCATGTGTATGGTGGTATTAAGGAAGATGTGGTAGACAAGGAGAGTGGAATAATGGGGTGGAACTTGGAAGTGGTTAAATGATTGGTAATTTATTAGCAGTGGTAGTTGGGTTTAAGGCTGTTTTGTCTGATCAAAGTGGAAACTTCTCGAAATTGAGTTATTGGAATTCAGATTTTGTGGCCCAAGTTCTTCAAAATTCAAGTTCTATGTGTTTTTATCAGAAAATATACTTCTTGGAACTCAAGTTCCGATGAGTTTTCTTTTTTGTTGCATCATTAACTGTGAAGGTGGATTCTTCATTGGTTTTGTTGCATCATTATTTGATGATATAAGTTAGGTTAGGGCTAATGTGAGAATATCTAGTATACCGTAGTTGCCCGGATCTCTTTTTGCCCGGTAATTAAAACTTCTAGTTTCTCTTTCAGAGATGTTTACCATGTTCAGACAGAACTACGACTTATTGTTTCACTTATAGGATGAACTTTGGACATGTAGGCTATTTTCTACTAGCAAAGGCATAAATTTTTTTGAGAAAGATAGAAGTGATTTTCTAGAGTGGAGATTTTCTAATTAATAACTTAAGATAGTGTGTGATTTACCCAGAATTACAGGTGACACTGCCATTTACATGAGACTACTATTTAGATGAGTTTGCTCATTGTATAAATCAGGATAAAAGAACAATGTTTTGTAATAGACCTACATTTGTAGGGTTGAAGGGCTTCAAATACTGTTTCTATAGATAGATAGGGGTAAAGGTAGTGACGTTTCATAAAGCTGATGCAAGTGATGGAACTATGGTATTTTCCCCATTGATATCTATGGCATGTTGGAAAGGTTGAGAATACATTCTTGTGGGGGCCAAGAGTCTTGAGAGATTATGAAGTTAATCAGTAGTGCATCCTGTTATTATATCACAATTCTGCAATAAAGACTAAGTCAAATTTTGTTTTCACTTATACAACCAGTGGTGCTGCTTCATCAGTGTCTATTTTCTCTTATGCAATGTGTATCTACATATGTTACACCTGTAGATGAAATGAAAAAAGGCAAGGATTTGTTACAACAATGGCTTTGCTTGAGAATTTTTTTTGGATTCTCATGAATACCTTAACACCTGGCTTTTTGCATGGGTTGAAGTATAACTATATTACTTACAAAAGTCATGACAGATATAACTAAGTGCCATATTTGTATGGAGTTCATGCATTTTGTAGTAATAAATACAACAGTTTTGTTTCTTCAACCTTGAGTACTGCTAAATGCATATCACTAATTTCTCTGGTTTAATTTCTCCTTGGAATTGTTGAAGTAATGTTTTTTTTTTTTTTTCATTTTGCAGATATGACATGGAAGTTATTTATTTTGATGAATCTGTTAGGACTTCAAAGAGACAAGAACTTGAAACAAAACTTCTCCAGGTACTGTTACCCTGTGGTAACTGGCAGCATTCGGTTCAAGTTCTAGTGCCATTAACATAAACCTCATCAAACTGATATGATATGATAGATAGGCCACCAGAGAAGGTTAACTGCACTGCAAAAAGTTCCCGATAGCTGACAATTTAGTTGATGGTCCTTTGTTCTGCTATTATATGGTTTATTAATTGGAGGCTTTGAGATGAATAATATGAAATATGTCATTTTTTTTCCAAAATTCAATTGTTTCTTTCTGACCTTTGAGGACATTTTTTGCTGTTCTGCATGATGATGCTCCATCACATATTGTGTTTGTGTTATTTCTGTGTTGACATAACTTGTACTAGTTGCTGAATGGAGGTAAATATGCTATTCAGTATTACATTTAACAAACTATCTAGTGGTATATATAAATGATCTTGATTTTTTTCAATTTGTGGGTGTCACAATTTCCTTGTGAGGGATGTTATATCCATGTATGTCACGAAGTTTTATGGAAATAAGCTTAGGTTTTTGCATATAAAATAACTTTATATATGCATCATGTAAGGTACACAGTCTTTTTCAATTAACATGAATAACACATCCTTTAGTTCAGTGAGATTTTGCCAAGTTCAAAGCTTACCTTTATTTGCATCTCACTGAATCTTTAGGTGGATGGATTTAGTTTGATTATATGAAAGATTCTCTCTTTTGTATTAGAATATTAATCTCCCAAGAGAATTAGAGGGCCTTTTTTAAACTTCCAGGATGAATAGTTATTTGCTAGTTTGTTATGGCTTTATGCCTGATAACAAAGGTTGAGCATAATAATTTCTCTATGTTTTACACTCTGAGGCGGTTCCAGACAGATCAGAAGAATTGCATGTTTTGCACCTAACTGAAACCGCTAGGTTTTGCACATTGTATGATTGATTTAACACTATGTTCTCATCTCACAAATATTTTGAAATATATCTGTATTCATTCCAGTAAAAATTGTCAAATCAGTGACATTGTCTTCAACTGCATCTAATTGAACTAATTTCTCTTTCTAGCTAGTAAATCCTGCATATCAATCCATGTTGGGGCACGTTCGGGCAAAAACTTTAAATGACTTTAAGGAAGCTCTTGACAAGGCTATTGAAAGAGAAGGATTTGCTGTTGCTGTACATGATTGCACTCAATCTTTCATGTTAAAGTTTGATAAGGGCTGTGAAGGTATGCACATGTGTGTTTTAATTTTATATTCTTTGTTTAGTGTGTATTTTGCTCGTGGTTGTTAGGCTGTTCTCGGGGATTGCAGGTGCTGCTATTGAACAAGCAAGATGGGACCCCTCGAAAGTTCGGGAAAAGCTTCGGCGAGATATTGATGTTTATGTAACTTCAGTTCGTGCTGCAAAGCTTTCTGAGCTTACTACACTGTATGAGGTCTGTATGGCATCTTTTAATTTAGGCCTAGAAGGTTGTATAACCATTTATACTTTTCTGCAAACAGAATGAGATGAAATTAAGGATAATTACTGTTAGAATAGCCAGTCATTCATTACCACATGATATACTTGCAGGGACAACTCAATAGAGCTCTTTCAGAACCTGTAGAAGCTCTTCTTGATGCGGCTAGTGATGATACTTGGCCAGCAATAAGGGAACTTCTCCAACGAGAGACCAAATCTGCTATTTCTGGATTTTCTTCTGCACTTTTAGCATTTGATCTTGACCAGGCAACTGTTGATAAAATGATCTTACAGCTAGAGGAATATGCTAAAAGTGTTGTTGAATCAAAGGCAAAAGAAGAGGCTGGAAGAGTCTTGATCCATATGAAGGACAGGTATTGCTTTTGTCAGTTGTTTTGGGTTCTGATATCATTCTTGAGAAAGCTAGGTTGACATATTTTAGTTCCCCTTACAGATTCTCGACATTGTTCAGTCACGATGCTGATTCCATGCCAAGAGTTTGGACAGGAAAGGAAGACATAAAAGCAATCACAAAAACTGCTCGCTCTGCAGTATGTCATGGGGAATTGCTCTCTTATTATATAATTTCAGTTTTAATGCCTTGAACAATCTGATTTTTCTGCCTACTTTCTTTTGCAGTCTCTGAAATTGATGTCTGTACTGACTGTTATTCGTTTGGATGATAAAAATGATAAAATCGAGAATGCTCTCTCACTTTCTTTGATGGATGCTTCTGATAGTGGTGGTTCAAGCCGAAGCATCCAAATTCTTGATCCGCTTGCTTCAAGTTCATGGGAAGAGGTTATAAAAATTCTCATAACATTTTTTTGCTAATGATTGTGTCTTAGATATTTTGTTGTCATTTTAAGTGAAAGCATCATGTATGATTTTTATATTACATCTGTAGTTTATTATAATAGAGAACATCATCGCATTTAGTATTTACCACATATCCTTCTTCTAGAAACCTAACCTGGATGTCAACCAGTAGCTGTGACTGGTTTGGTGGTTCGGCCATGGTTGGACCAATGACCTATGATTAACTCATTACTATGGGCGCTCCTTGCGTCATTTCAGATATTGTACTCTGCTAACCCTTAAGAATTGTAACTGATTATTATCAGTTGGATAGTATAAATAGATGCTCTGAGAACGTATGATACTCTATCAATCTGCTGAATGTTGCTGTTGTAGTTTCATTTTTCTAAAGCAATAGAAAAGAGTGCCAAAGTCCAGATTACACTATGTTTTTTTGTTTGGTACCATAATATAGTATTAGCAATTAATCTACTTTATTATTCTACCAGGTTCCACAAACAAAAACTTTGATTACTCCAGTCCAATGTAGATCATTGTGGAGACAGTTCCAATCAGAAACCGAGTATACTGTCACTCAGGCTATTTCAGCTCAGGCATTTTCTCAAACTTATCCTGCTTTTTTGCAAAGTTTCTTGTGCTTTGGCCCTTCATTGCAACTACATATTAAAAGCAGATAAGATTTTGCCGTTGGTAGATTTACCACCTGTAGCTTTCATATTTGAGACATAGCCCTTCTTGCAATTTTGGGTAGAACAATTTTCTTTCGCTTGTGAATGAATCCACATGTAATTGAATTCTATCTTAGTTCTTAAATGCAGGGAGCCTCTAAATTTTATGCATATTTGCTGTTTTGCTATAAGAATTCACAGCACTGACTTGGAACTTTGAGCTTTATTTCCGTTCAATTAACTTTGCTGATCCATCTGGTTACCTGTGGACCAATGCTATAAAACTAGTAATGGTAGAAGGAAGATGAACACTAACCTACGGATGGATCTATAGCTACTCGGAACCAGACATTCGTTAATTGATGATTATCAATTAAGGAATGTTGCTATTCTGAAAAGGTTATTGTGGAATGGATATACAGAAATCATGGAGTTCCTACAATTGTTTCCAATAGAAACAAAAATATTTTGTAAATCATAATATGAGAGAGTGAGAAAGAGATCAACTTACAACACAGTGGGGAAATAGGAAAGACACTAGAAGAGACTGAGATTTCTTTTGTGTTGGAAATCAAGGATGGAGATCTTTGTCCTAACCTAGACAAGTCCAAGAAGATGAATAATCGGGAGAAAAGATGCATATCAAGGTCTGGCCACAGATCAGAATCTTGGAATTACCTGGTCCTTTGACAGCATGTGGGCTTAGTCTTCAATTTAGAGCCAAATAGGAGAGACGGAAAAGCAGGATGAAAATAAAGAAAATAAAAAATATTACAAGTTGATGTGGACATGTGTGCAGAACTTTCCCTCTCAAACTTGAACTTATGGAACTATATCTAATATTTTTCCTCATGTGTTTCCCTCAAGAGATAAATCTCCTACTAACATGGCATGATATACAACTATCCTGCAACACGTTGAAAGCTAGTCTTTATGATGTAATATTTTTCTGCTGCTAAACATTTTACCTCTAATATTCTTTGCTAATGTATGTCACTTCCAGGAAGCCAATAAGCGTAACAATAGCATGTTGCCCCCTCCGTGGGCAATTGTTGCCATTCTTATCTTGGGGTTCAATGAATTTATGACACTTCTTAGGTACTTCACTTGATTTAGGTAGTTTATTTTCTGTTGGATCTCCTGTATCATTGGTATTCTAACAGAATAACTTCTGTGTTGAAGAAATCCTCTCTACTTGGTCGTCATATTTGTCATCTTTTTGGTCGGCAAAGCCCTATGGGTTCAGCTAGACATATCGGGTGTATTCAGCAATGGAGCTGTGAGTTCTAGATCATTTGAAGTTAAACTAGCATTCTTGCTTTCTCAAAAAAGTTCAGCTCTGACTTGAGCTAGTTTGATATTCGTCCGTCAGCTTCCTGGGCTGCTATCCTTGTCCACAAGGTTTCTTCCAACCGTGATGAACATCCTTAAGAGATTGGCAGATGAGGGCCAACGACCTGCGGCTCCAGAACGCAATAGGAATCAAGAACTTGAGACAAAAAGCTTTCGGAATGGCATGCGTAGCAATTCGTCATCGGATGCATCCTCTAATATAACATCATCGGATAGCGGAATTGAGTACTCAAGTCTACCAAGGCAATAACGACCATGCCGTGTTTCGGTCGGCTGACTTTGTGTTTACCTGTGTTTTCTCTTTCTTTTTCTTTAATTTGATATTTGGCCAACTGTGCAAGAGCATCTCGTTTTCTTGAGATGCTCTTTCTTTGATTATGGCCGGAGCGCACAAATGTAGTGTGTTATAAGATTCACTAGATTGTACAAGAAACCATCCTGATGTATTTGTTCTCAAAAGATCTTGAAGCATCCGTGTGAACCTCCATGTTGCATTTATTATCTTCACGGTTGTGTTCATATGCAATTTGCAACTCTCGTTTATAAGAATTGGGTGTGAATTACTAAAACGATTTCCCAAGAAACAAGGTGCATATTGTGGCTTTGAGACTGCGTAGTCCACTCGCACTGGATACCAACGAGAACCTACACGATTTACTAAGTTAATTCTTAGTTAGTTATTACCAAATGCTGTACGTGGGATGGACGGACGGACGGACGCTGAAGGCATTGATTGCGACGAGAGACAGCGAAGACTCTGTTCAGTCCACGTTACGGCTCAATATCCCTTAGTTACTGCCTTCTGAGATCAAGTCCACGCTTCTGTCACCGCAGGGGGCCCCTCGCAAGACGGCTCTTTTCCCAAAACTCCCATCTCAGGGACACAATAACACCCAAAGACATCTGCCATAACACCCAAAGACATCTGCCGTCGCACCCTGGATCGCAGGTGCCGCCGCCATCCACGACACTTCTCCGATGCCACATCGAACCCAAGAACCCCCAGGGACGTCAATTGCCATGCTCTGAGTGGAAGGTCCCGCCATCCATGGCTCCGGCGTTTCTTGGGTATCTGTCACAGATGGGGCCTTGGCTGGGAGGCTGTCGCCGTCGCTCTCGTCTGCGGCTCCACTCCCCTTGTGCTGGATTCGGCACAGGATTATCTCCTCGGTCTCGTAGGAGGGGATCGTCTCGTACAAGCTGGGGTGGAGTCGGTACTCGTGCATTATCCACTGCAGACCGAGGCTGCTGTCCTTCTTGTTCTTCTTTCTAGGATCACCGCTGTCCTTGAAGAATTTGAGACTCCTCCGAGTCCCGGCGATCGCCGCCCTCCTATCTTGATGCGGTATGTCGAGGGGCTTGCCTATTGTCCCTGGCTTTGGAGCGGGGCACGCGGACGAAGCAGTAGGACACACCCGTGGGAAGGTAGCTGGAGCGGACCTCGGATCCAGAAGTAGGAGGAAGGAGGGCTCTTAGAGGGACGAAAACGGCGAATGCACGTCCGGCTAGAGAGGAGAGAGAAGAAGAAGAAAGGAGAAACACATGCGTGCACTTCCTTTATTGGTGTGCGCCCCCACAGTCAGTAAAATTTATTGGCTATATAGAACAGAGTCCAACAGAGGAAAATATCGGTCATACAAGTGAGTCATGTTTGTGCTTCGACTCGAATGGAACTGTTGAGTTTTATATTGACCAGAAGAGTGAGCGAGTGATTCATAGTACATACAATAGAGGACATGGTGGGGAGACAAATTGGTGTCGTCTACGTCACAGACACAATTCCAGTTTCTCTTAGTTAGAGCCTTCTATACGGGCTTTCAATCTCTTTTCCATAGTCCATGCTTCTTCCACTGCAGCGCGATGGCTTTATTCTCCGGGGACATCAGCCGTCGCACCCTGGCTCGTGGGTGCTGCCGCCATCCATGACTCTGTAGCAGGTGGAGCTACCAATGTCGCTGCTGCTTGTGTGGCCTCCGCTACGAGGTTGAGGTCGTCAAGAAATCCATACATCTCATCGCAAGTCCACGCTTTTGAGAGGTCGAGGTCGTCAACAAATCCATCCATGTCATCGTAAGTCCACGCTTCACGCATCGCAGGGGAACCCTCGCAAGACGATCCAAATATGTAATGGCAATCCACGCTTCCTTCGCTTCTAGCACGGCATGGGAACCCTCGTAAGATGGCTCTTTTCCCAAAACTCCTGTGTCAGGGATACAAGAATACCCAAAGATATCTGTTGTCGCACCCTGGATCGCATGTGTCGCCATCATCCATGGTACTTCTTCCGTAGCTCCGGTGCCACATTGAACCCAAGAACACCCAAACATCTATCATCGCACCCTGGATCATAGGTGCCGCGACCATCCATGGCACTTCTTCCATAGTTCCGGTGCCACATTGAACCCAAGAACACCCAGAGACATATGCCGTAAAACCCTGAATCGCAGGTGCCACCGCCATCCATGGCACTTCTTCCGTAGCTCCGGAGCCACATTGAACCCAAGAACACCCAGAGACATCTGCTGCTGCACCCTGGATCGCAGGTGTCGTCGCCATCCATGGCTATTCTTCTATAGCTCCGGTGCCACACTGAACCCAAGTACACCCAAAGACATCAGGTGTCGCCACCATCGTAGTTCCGGTGATATATTTGTTAAGAAGTTAAAAGTATATTTCAGAACATTATAAATTAATATTTTTTATATTTTAAATAAAATTATATAAAATTTTAAGGATAAGGAATTCTTAGGTCAAAATAAATTTTAGAAGATTTCAAATAATATTATATAGAGTTAGGGATGAAGGATTCTTATATTTTATATCCATAAATAGGTGATTGAGCTATAGGGATTAAGGATTATTATATTTTATATCCATAAATAGTTGTAGATCAAGTATTCAAATTTTAGAAGCCACTCAAGATCGATCTATAAGTGTTTTTTATTTTAAGAAGTTCAATAAAGTTTTTTTTTCTAATTTGGTTTTTTCTTCTTTTATTTGATTTGATTTTAAGTATTAGTACCTTGTTACTACGATTTTGGGCTATTGGTATCTTGTTACTACTATTTGAGAAAATATTATACTTGCATGTGATCCTCTCTTTCTCTACATGATATCAAAACCACAAGGGTGATAATATGTATTTCAAGCTCTTCTTAGTGAAGAAAATAATTTTTTTTAACTATAAAAAATTATAGTCTAGTTGATGGATTTGACATTGAACTTATCAATCAATATAATTATAAGATCTAGAAGACTTGTTTGGAGTCTTCATCTTAGGAAGATCTATGCGAGATGGTTGGTGGCAATACAATAACAGTAAGACATCATGATTAGATGGAGTATTTTAAATGAAAAGACTGAATTTATATTAAAGATATCTAATTCCCATGATCTCTTTCAACAAATTATTCGTTGCAAATTAGCTTCAAAGATTTGGATCAACTCTTGATGCATTGCTCAATAGAAAGAATATGACTTAGCTTTAGTATTTGAAAAATGATTTAACAAATACTATCCAAGATGACCTCTCAATTTTTTAGTATTTTTTTAAGATTAAAAATGTATATTCAATGATATTACTCTTAGATCCAGATGTGCCTATTTTCGATGCACGAATGAAACATTGTATTATTCATAGTATTCGAAAAAAATATATTCCTTATGTTACATCTATTGAAGGATGGTTTCAACAACCATTTTTAGTACAATTGGAAAATCTTTTTACTTCTTAGGAATCCGTTAAATGATATGAGCTTCTATTTCAAGGGGAGACAAAGATGACTTTTTACAAATAAGAAAAAGGGTAATGATAACAATAAAAAGAAGAAGAATGATGCTAACAGTAAGTAAGAGTCTTCTTTGAACAATGGTGTAAATCGAAAGAAGATAAAGTATTATAGGTGTGACAAGTTAAGCCATATCAAGAAAAACTATCATGTAAAGATTTAAAAAAAAATATAAATAAAGAAGATTATTCAAATGCTGAAAATTGGGGCAAATGTTTTATGGTTGAAACTAATAAGCATGTGACATCTATCAATTTTGAAAATGATTAGATTGTTGATTCAGGATGTAATTATTTCACCAGTGATAGCACCAAATTCAATAATATTCATCAATACGAGGGTAATGATGTAATCATCACGTCAAATAATACTATTCACCAAATGGAAAAGGAAGGCATTGTCATAATCTCAAATAAAGATAATGATCCTATTACAAATGCAGTTGATGATGAGAATTATGTTCATTTTTATCCTATTGAAGTCAGATTTCTTCGTAATATAAAAGAATTAGATACATATATAATATATTATGGTAAAAGGGTCAAAGATTTACTTGTTTTGTCGGCATTAACTACTTATGTTGATAAGATGAGTTCAAATGATAGCGCATCAATATGGTATGCTAGACTTAGTCATATAAATAAATTTTTTTAAATTAAATATTATGATTTAGAAAATTTTAATGAATGGTCTTCTTGATCTTACTACTTTTAGTTGTAATGAAGTTTATAAATGGTGTTACTTTGACAAAGCATACAGACAATATTTTGATATATCACTTTCAAAATGTAAATTTTCATTGGAGCTTATTAATGGGCTCTTCTCAAACACCATCTTATTTAGGTTCTCGTTATATGTTTATCTCTACTGATGATTTTACAAGGTTCACTTGGGTTTATTTTATGCAAATTTTTTTTTTTTTTATTTCAAGAGTTCAAGTTAACAGTTGAATGTTCTTTGAAAGAAAAATTAAAAGATTGTACACTGATAACTGCGAAGAGCTTACTTCTGATAAATACTTCGCTTTTCACAAGGAGAATGACATCAAAAGGAATTTATATGTACAAATACACCACAACAAAATAATATGATTGTATGAAAAATTTGGTATCTCGTGGAGACTTATAAATACTGGGTTCATATAAAGAATTTACCCAAAGCTAATGAGCAGAAGATATGTCACGTGAAAATTATGTTATTAATCGAACTCCTTTTGGTCTAATCAACCTGAAGTCTCTATACGAGCTTATGTTTGGTGAAAACTATATATTCTTCGTGCTATTTGTACATACCAAATCCAAAAAGAAACAAACTTAATGCTAAAACTAAGAAATATATCTTTATTAGCTATGATAAAAGGAAGAAATATTGAAAATATATAGATCCACGAACACATAGGTATATGGTATCTCGAGATATTATGTTTGATTAAGTTTCTTGTTATTATCCTTCATAAATAATTTTTTTTAAAAAATATCAATAATAATAATAATAATAATGATGATGATATATATATCCAAAATATATGAGATTTCTTTATCATTTTGGTTTCTTTATTCTAATTTATTTTGTTTGCTATGTTTGAAATCTTTGTAGTTTGCATGCTCCATCTCCGAAATTTCTTTTAAAGATGGTTTTATCAATTCTTTTATTGACATTTTCAACCTCCAAATGATAAATTAATAATTTCATGATTTAACATTATCGACTATATTATATTTATAGTCATATCTTTATA